ATCACCAGGCATCTCTGCCCAGCGAGGATGGCATCATCTTCTGCCCAGAAGACCATCCTTGTCTTTCTGACTTTCTTCTTAGGGATGAAAGGAGGGAGCAAACAGAACTTAATAACCCAGAAGAGTCTTGTCCAATAGACTAGGAGATGAGACGGGAGATCTGCTCCTGGGGAGAAATGCCAACCCCAGGGACAACACAGCCTGCCAGCCTTGGACCAATGCAGCCGGCAGGGTGGAGGCCCCTCTCTGGCGATTTACTCTGGAAAGCATGAGAACTGCCATTGCTTCTTTCAAGGATCATTAAAAATACAAAGGATCTCATCTGGAAATTGCTTTCCTCCTCAGGCAGCACCAGCTCTTCACCCTGTAAGAGAGTCAGGGCGCTCCTGGAGGATGCCAGCTCCCAGGACCGCAGGACGAAACCCCTGCAGAGAGGAGACAGAAGTCTTTCCTGAACCCACAGGACACTCACTTCTAAATGTGAACCACAGACGCGCCCGCATGCCTCCCTCCCTGCTCGGCCCTGTTCACACCCACGTGCCAGCGCCCAACACAGCACCCGCCAGACAGCAAGCACATAGCATCTGAAGTCACCCGCATGCGTGTGGACGGGCACAACGGTTCTCCTACTCCAATCCGAACTGGGATTTGAATCCAGGAAGCCGGCTCCAGAGCCCACCATGCCCACCCCTTCACACTGCGTCACACACAGTAGATGCTCAGACAGTGCTTCAGTGAACCGCCTCACTCTTGACACCCGGCTTAGCCAGAGCAGCTGTGCTTGTTGGTTGGTTTGTTTTACTGAAAGCAGAGAGCAGCTCACTATGTTTAAACAGTGACAGAGGAGGGGGGTTCAGTGAGGCTAAGTCTACAGAGAGAGACAGGACAGGGGCCAAGATAAGAGGCTAAATAAAAAGTGCAGGTGGTGGAGAACGGAGAAAAAGCAAGGAGACTGTGCTTCCTCTGAAAGGTCCCGCTGGTCCCAAGACTGGGATGTGGCCAGCTGTCAGGAGGTCAGCCAGATCTCACCCTGACCTGCTCGGGCCTGCACGTGGTCCAAGCCCTGCACCGAAAACAACGCTTCTGGGCCGAACCTCAACAGAGGTCCCTAGGAGGCAGCCTGTGCTGGGACCTACTGAGATTTCATCAACCGGAAGCCTGAATAATCAGAGTCTAGGGCTTCCCAGGTGGCGTTAGTGGTAAAGAACCCCCCTGCCAATGCAGGAGACGTAAGAGAGGTGGGTTCGATCCCTGGGTCAGGAAGATCCCCTGGAGGAGGCATGGCAACCCACTCCAGTGTTCTTGCCTGGAGCATCCCATGGACAGAGGGGCCTGGCGGGCTACAGTCCATGGGGTCTTCAGACGCAACTGAAGCAACTTAGCGTGCACACACAATGCGAGACGGGCATTCTGAAAAGCAGTAAGGATCACACAGGCAAAGTGGACGGAGGTCTGTCTGAACCACAAGGCCTGGCCATCCGCCCCCTCACCTCCGGCTCCCCAGGGCGTCTGGTGAACCACCTGCATCAGTATCCATAGGTCCCCCCAGCCTTGCCTTGCCCCCTCATCCCAGAGCTTGCCTTCTCAAGATTCGGATCCTGGAGGTCTGGACCGAGGCAAAAGGCCTGTCCTGCCCATGGGCTGGGTCCTGACGCAGACCCTCCCCAGGGTGGTCCTGATGCAGACCCTCCCCTGACGCAGACCCTCCCCAGGGTGGTCCTGACGCAGACCCTCCCCAGGGTGGTCCTGATGCAGACCCTCCCCTGACGCAGACCCTCCCCAGGGTGGTCCAGACGCAGACCCTCCCCAGGGTGGTCCAGACACAGACCCTCCCCAGGGTGGTCCTGACGCAGACCCTCCCCTGGGTGGTCCTGATGCAGATCCTCACAACATTGCCACCAGCCCAGCTCCCCAGTCAGCACCACGGTGCGCGGTAACCTCAGGGAACCGGGATTCAGCGGGAAGCAAAACACGGACAGTCCCTGATGGCCGGGGGTCACGTTCTAGAGGGAGGAGAAAGATCAAAACCAAACAAATAAACAGGCAAGGGTTCCAGGCAGCAGAAACTTGAGGGGATGAGGGCAAGAACGTTAAGGGTGGGACAGCACAGGCAGAGAGGGAGCCAGAGAACCCATCCCTGCGGAGGGAAATTCAAGAGAAAACCGAAGGCTGAAAAACAGCGGTCCAGGCAAGGGGCTGCGGGTGCAGCGGCCGGGCACGCTGCGGGGCCCTGAGAGCCGCCAGGCTCTGCCTTGGGCCCTGGGAGGTCACCTCCAAGCTCCTGGAATGTCCTGCCTGACAAAGCATCCTGGTTTACATGGGGACCTTGGCGGGCAGGAGAGGACCAGTGTCTGGGAGGAGTGGGCTCTCAGAACTGCCCACCAGGTAAGAGAGGGAGAAGAGGACATTCCCCACTCCCTCCGGTCCTTAGTCAGCCTTTGTCCCCCAAGGTATCAGCGCCCCACACTCCCACCCTCTTCAGTCAGCACACTCTACACCCCAGACGTGGGCCTGCACCCGAACTGGGAATCTGGGGGACATGGAGCTGCCGGAGCCTCCTCGGGACCCCATCAGGCTGGCCCTGGATGCAGAGATGCTGTGGTCACTCCGTGTGGGCTGAGCAAGGACGTGGAGCTGCCCAGAGCTCACCCCAAAGAGGCCCAAACTGCCTGCAGTCTTAGGAGGCAAAGCAGAGGTGGGTGGGGCTGAGTGAACCCGGAAGGAGCAGGAAGCGGCTCTGGATCGTGTAGAGCAGGGAGGTGGTTTGTTTGTCTTGCATCCCTGGGGTTCAGCACAACTCCTGACTCCCAGCCAGGGCTCAGGAAATGAGGCCTCAAACGGATAGCCTCATTCAAGATAGGACGCTTCACATCAGTTCACAGGATCACCTGGGGCATGGGCAGCGAGTTACTTCTCTCTGAGTCCTTGTGTGGATGTAAGGGTGGCACCAGGCTCCCTGGGACTTGTTTCAAGGAGTTGATGCTCACGGGCTGTCAAGCTTTGCTCAAATGTCGAGGAAGGAAAAAATCAGAGCGGGCACGTGATGGTTCATTTTAAGTATCAGCTTGGCTGGGATGGATGCCAAGGCAGCTGATGAAACATTTGTTCTGGGTGTGTCTGTGCTGGGGTCTCTGGGAAGAGATCAGCGTTTGACTCGGTGGCCTGAGTAAAGCAGAGGGACCCTCCCCAGCATGCGAGGGTGGCACGCAATCCAGGGAGGGCCTGAACTGGACAAAGAGGTGACGGGAGGTTGAGCTCTGCCCTCTGTGTGCCTGGGGCATCCACGGCCTGACCTCTCAGACCCTTGGATTCGTTTTCCTGGGCCCCTGTTGGCAGAGGGCATACCAAGGGCCTTCTCAGTCTCCAGCATCACGTGAGCGGATCCTTACAATAAATCTCTATAGAGAGACAGAGATATAGATAGAAACACAGGCAGACAGAGAGATAAGACAGGTAAATGGAGACAGGGAGAGGTAGAGAGGCTGGGCCACCTCCCACGGGTTCGGTTCCTCTGGGGAACCTAACAAGCACAGAACATCCCCTTCTCCTACTTAAATGCCACCCACGCTGGTCCAGTGGTTGAGAATCCGCCTTCCCGTGCAGGAGACGGGGCTCCATCCCCGGCTGAGGAACTGAAATCCCACGTGCCGTGAGGCCACTAAACTCGCACATCCCAACTGCTGAGCCCGCGTGCTGCAACCAGAGAAGCCCACGGGTTCTAACTGAGATCCGACAGAGCCAGATAAACAAAGAACTAACATTTTATACACATCGCCCGTGGAGGACACCGTGGTGGCTGAAATGCAGGGTCATTTTTCCTCACCAACATTCTTCAGTTCAGAAAAAAAACAAAGTGGTATTTGGCGGGGGGAGGAATCTAAACTAGGCAATTTAAGTTGTTCAGCATCAACATGTTGGGATGGGCCCTAAAACAGACTAGAGAAGGAAACGGCAACCCACTCCAGTGTTCTTGCCTAGAAAAACCCCATGGACCGAGGAGCCTTGTGGGCCACGGTCCACGGGGTCGCAAAGAGTGGGACATGACTTAGCAACTGAACACACACGCACGCACTGGAACATTCTCCATGTCGATGTTTTAAACGGCTACAACTTGCAAGGCTTCTGTTTATCCTGAAGAAGCCCTCGTGAAAAGGCAGTTGTGCCCCAACCGCAGTGGCTAAGGAGGAGAAACTTTTGAAAAGCCTCCTTTCATGGGATGTGCGTGTGGCACTATCCTGACTGGTGTCTGCCCAGTCCGAGTCTGCTGGGTCGGGGCTCACAGGGTGAGGATGCTGACGGAGCCCTTGCCAGCCGGGGGATTACCTCTGAAGCCCTGCTGGGGTTGAGATCAGAGCAGTCAAAGTTCAATCTGCGCTTGGAGCCGGACTAACGCCACCAATGAACCCTCACCGCGAGGCTGGGCTCGAGAGAGCCCTGGGGAGAGACGCGTGGCTGCAGCGGCCCCAAGGGAGCCCAGAGCCAGCGCCCGTCCCCCCACCCTTGCTTCCCTGACTTTCAGGAACCAGGTGGCTGTCCTCTGGCCTCGCCTGTCTCCGAGCATCCAGACGCGGCTGAATCTGCCCACCGCCCGGAGCAGGGGCGACACCATCCGATGAGGACCCGCAAGAGTGTCCAGAAAGACCCACGGGCCCGCTTTTCAGAGCCTCCTCTGAGCTCCCCTCTTGCTCCAGAAAGAGTCTGAATGCCTTGATCTCGTCTGCAAAGTGCTGCGAGCATTCACTGCAGCTGCTCGTTCCAAATCTTAAGAAAAGGGTCCCCGTGTACCTGGGTACGGCACAGCAGGGTAAGCGGGCCGTCTGAGAGCCCCTGGGGCCGGCCCCCCCGGGGAGCGGTTCAAGCCATCCAGTCTCCCCACGCTCCACCGAACGCAGCATCGAGGACCCTTGGTCAGCCCCTCGGCTTTGCTCCCTTGACCCAGAAGAGCCTGAACCCAAAGTCTTGCCCTCACTGGACACCCCAACCAGGAGGCTCACCCTCACCTTGACCAGCTCCTTGAATCTGGGGTCATCCCTGGAGGTGGGGTCGATCACCGTGCGTTCCTCGTTCTCCTCTGTGGGGACAAAGGACAGGTGGGTTAGCATTGGTGGGGGCAGCTGGCTTCCCTCACACAGACGGGGGGGATCGAGAGCAGAGACCCCCAAGGTCTTCTCACGGAGCAGCCCTGCAGCCAGGCACATGGCCCAGGCAGGCGGGCCTGCCTTCTGGAAAGCCACGAGGCACCTACTCTGGTATTTCAGGAGAAGCAATGGGGTGGTGGTGGGGCGCTGATTCAGATCTGGAGAAAAGTCACTATAAATAAACCTGAGAAAGAGTTGTCCTTCACCAAGAAAGCTTGCTTCTACATACGATGGTATGGACAAAAACATTTGGGGGGAGCGCTAAAAAAAAAAGGACATTTCACAGCAAAGCGTGTTTATCCATATTCTGTTTCTGTTTTGTTTTTCCCTCCGTGTCTGGCCTTGACCATGGACCGTGGGCAGCCGCGAGCTTGGACAGAAAGGGACACGTGGTAATAAGCGGACACGTGTGCGCGCTCAGTCGCTCAGTCCTGTCCGACTCTTTGCAACCCCATGGACTGTAGCTCAGCAGGCTCCTCTGTCCATGGGATTTCCCAGGCAAGGATACTGCAGCGGGCGGCCACGCCCTCCTCCAGGGGATCTCTCCGACCCAGGGATCGAACTTGCATCTTCTGCGTCGCAGGTGGACTCTCTACCACTGAGCCAGCAGGGGGGCCTAGTAAGTGGGCGGCAGACACCAGACACTACAGAGAACAACACTGAGCCTGAGCGCTAAAAGGGAAGACAAGAGGCACGGCCTCTGCCCCTGGGACACGCAGGTAAGACGACCAGGGTCCCTGGGCCCACACAGGCCCCCACAGCTGGGACCCTGTCCATGTTGGTGGGAATGAATGGCTTTGAGTGACAGAGGCGTCACAACAGCAAAGTTTAAAACCTGACAAAGTGGAAACACTATTCTTGGAGTCGCGTAGACTTGATGCTTGAGAGGGATGCTCCAAGTAAGCTGCAGGGGGGCACACGGGGGGTCCCCGATGAGGCCCTAGCAGCCTCCCACCACTCCCGGGATCAAGGCCAGCATCCTCCATGCAGTCCTCCAGGCCCTCTGTAGCCTCTATCCCCAGCTCTCCCCGGCACCCTCCCACCCAATCCCTCCAGACTTTGCTTGCCCTTCAGCAAGCCTCTCGCTACCACCGACCACAGGGCCTTGGCACATCCTACTTTGTGTCCAACACCCTCTCTCCCCAAATTCACCCCCCGATCGCCCAGCTCTCAGCTCCTAGTGCTGACTAGGCTGGTTCTTATCAAAGTCACAAGAGCTTCAAGGGCCAGCAGGACCTTAACAGAGCGAACTGAAGAACGCTGACTCCCAGCCCAGGAGCAGCAGTTTAGGAAAACGGTAAGACAGGAGAGTTAGGACAAGGCAGGTTCAAGGCATCGTGACAAACAGTAACCTGCCCTCGTTTACAGTAAATCTGTTTTCTAAGCGCTCCTGCTGGCCTAAAGCGGGTTCTCAGCCAGGAGCAATTGTGTCCCTGAGGCCCCCAAGGGACCGCAGCAACATCTGGAGACAGTTTTGGTTGTCTTCAACGGTGGTGTGGCGTGGGGTGGGGTATAAGCTACAGGAATCTAGTGGGTGGAGACCAGGGATGCTGATCAAAACCCTGCACCACACAGGACAGCCCTCCATCAAAGAGCTGTGTGCTCAGCCGCTGAGTCCTGTCCGACTCTTTGCGACCCCACAGACTGTAGCCCACCAGGCTCCTCTGTCCAAGGGATTTCCCAGGCAAGAAAACTGGAGTGGGTTGCCTTTTCCTTCATCTTCCTGACCCAGGGATTGAACCCGCATCTTCGGCATTGGCAGGTGGATTCTTTACCACTGAGCCACCTGGGGAGTCTCCCCGACATTAAAGAATTATTCTGGGCCAAATGTCCATAGTACCGGGGGCCGGGGGAGGGGAGAGAAACCTTGCTCTGAATCTGGGTGATTTCCAGACAGCGCTCGTCGGCTCCCCCGGGGCAGAGTCACCTGCCTGGGCAGCGGCTACAGCCAGACTGAGGCTGCAGCACAACAGGGTCTTCTGAGAGGTGAGGGGACGCCCCGGGGGACCCAGCGTCTCCGAGCCCGCCCAGCCCTTGGCCACAGGTCGGCTGTCTGGACGGCCTTGGCCTTTCTTTCCCACCAGCTCCCGCTGGCCTGGCCTTGTGCTGGGAACCACAACAGAGGCATCCACGGGGACTTCCCTTTGGACCAGGGATTGGAAAGAAGCGGAATGTTCCAAGCCAGCTTTCCAGATCCATCAGACCCCAAAGCACGCTCTAAGGAAAAACGTGTCCAGGCCGTCACCCCATCAGTGTCGGCGGGGACGCGGTCCCAGGGAGGTGGGCGCAGGGCCAGCACCACTCAGCAGGTCCCACCCAGCAAGCCCCTGGCGTCGGGAGGCCCCTCCAGCTTGCGTAGAGACAGGGCAGGTATTAATAGTTTTTCTGATTCTCTGTATTTTTCTTTCTTAAACTGTAAGGTTTTTTTGACATGCATGCACTGCTTTCTTTCTCTTTCTTTTTGGCTGCACGGAGTCTTTATTCCCGCATGTGGGCTTCTCTCAAGTTGTGGTGCACGGGCCTCTCACTGCGACGGCTTCTCTCGCTCCTCGTGTTCCCTCCTAACGCCCTTGTTACAGGCTCCAGGGCGTGCAGGCTGCAGCAGTCACAGCATCAAGTCTCAGGAGCTGCAGTTCTCGGGCTTAGCTGCTCCACAGCAAGTGGAATCCTCCCGGACCAGAGATCGAACCTGCGTCCCCTGCATTGGCCAGTGGATTCTTATCCACCAGGGAAGTCCCTTTTCTGTATTTTCAGATGCTTCGACATGCTGGGGCCTTAGGGACTTACAGGGACTCCCTGCTCAGAGCTAGCTGACGCCCAAGACAGCAAACGTGTCCCCTGTGAATGCCTTTCAATGCAGACAACCAACCCAAAGCCCACCCCCCGCCCCAGCCAGCTCTCTAACTCAGCTCCCACGTGGCTGCTGCACACCCAGCCAACAGCCCCTGCCCTGGTCTCCTGAGACCAGGTACAGACGCCTCAGGGCAGTTTCTGTGTCCCAGAAGCCCCTGAAACTACCGGAACCAGCTGATCAAACCTGTTCATGAACCCTGCCTCGCCCACTCCGTCCTGAGAAAACCACCATAAAGGCGTCTGCTCACTCCTGCCCTGACACTGCTGCTCCCCCGGCACCTGGGGAACCGTGAGTGCCACAAACCGTCTTTTCAAGGAGAGTCGGCTCTCCGATCTCTTGGCCCCATCATACTTAAATACTAATAAGGCTGACATTTGCAACCAGAGAGGCCAAAATCTACAAGGGAAAGCTCGCTTTGTTCCTGCAGACTTTTTTCTAAACACGACCTTGAGCTGAGAGCCCGCTGTGAGGTCTGATCACGAGGCTCCTCGTTGGCCCCTCCCAGACCGACCGCACCCTCACGGACGTTCAGCTCGCCCAGGACAAGGAGCTGGAGGAGGCAACAGTACCGAGCAGGGAGTCTTCGGGGTGGACCTCCACTGGGGCGGGGCACATGGGCAAGTTGATGGCATTCTTCCCTTCTTCCTGGAGGTCACTCACTGTCAAGAGAAAGAGAAAGGGCAAAACTGGTGAGTATGGATGGACTAGCGTGGTCTCACATGTTGGCAGTGAAAACAAAGAGAAATCAACTCGTGTTTTTTAGGCATTTAACAAACATTCCTAAATGGCTGGTTGCCCAGAAAGAGTCCGAGGAAAAATGCCCCGAAACAAGAATACATTCTACAACTCCTCGCCAACGCCAGAGAGTGCCCAGTTCCCGGCCAAGCCCTGCCAGGCTGTTCTCACCACTCTTCGGAACACATGACTAAGTCACGGAAGCTTCTGGATGCTTCTAGATCTTGCCCAAGCCTGCTGGGGTGGACACAGCTTGGATCGCAGTGACAGGGTCTGAGAAGGCAGGGTCCCTCCCCGGACTCGGACAGTCATGGACTCCGGGTGTGAAGACCCTCCCGGCAGGTACACAGGCAAGCCCAGAGTCAGAGGCGGTGCCGCTGTCCGTGGCCAAGTTCACGGGACAGAATCCTGCCAGCCTGATGCCCGGCGATACCCAGGGTCAGGAGCAGTGGAACACGCGGCAGAGTCTAACAAACTGGATCCAGAGGCCTGGCGTCTCCCGAACCTTCGCAGGAACCACAGGGCTGGCTACGCAGTGAGTGGGGCGGCCTCCATCCACAGAGCAGAGAAGATCCCTTGCCGCCCCAACACCAGGAGGCTCACAGCCTCACCCTTCAACACTGCGTTTCTTCCACCGGCCCCAACTGTGTCCGACGCCAGGCTCCAGCCCTCAGGCCCGATTCAGTGGGTGCAGGGGGCCTGGGATCTGCCCCCTTTCCAGCCCTTGGCTGAGAACCGCTGGGCAACAGTCCCCGACCATGGAGCACACAACCAGCCTCTCCCTCGGTGATCTCCAAGGACAAGGGCCCAGGCTTTCTCCTCTGTTTTATGTATTTCTTTTTAATAGTCACTGATCTACAATATTGCATTAGTTTCAAGGCCTTTTCCTCTGTAATGAAACGGCCTTAGAGGTGGAAAGCTACTTCCTTGTTCAATATTGAGGTCACCCTGAACATCTCCAATTCTGGGACCTGAAGGGGCAGGGGGACAGAGAAGCCAGGCGACAGGCATGATGGCCTCGGGTGAGGCAGGCATGTCTGGGAACCTCTCTGCCTGTCTTCTCAAACGTCAGGACCCCCGCGAGGACTGAATGCAATGATGAACGTCAGATCCTGAGGGCAGTGCCGACACGCAGTGGGCTCCCGGGACTCAGCCACAGACCCAGGTCTGGGGACAAAGCCGCCTCTGCCCCGCAGGAGGACGATGGCAGTGGGGCCCAGGACGCCGGCTTGCAGTGTCAGGAAGACCCTGATACAAAACTGAAAAGCCACGGGGCGGGGGGAGGCTCTCCCGCACACCCACAGTCTACAGCAGGAACGGTTTACACAGCGGTTCACAGCCAAAAGGTGGAGACGGCCCACGTGTCCACCGACAGATGAACAGACACACCAATGTGGTCCAAACACACAAACGCACATTATCCACCCACAAAAAGGAAAGGAATTCAGGCATACGCTACCATGGAACCATGAAGACATTGTACCAGGTAAAATAATCCAGACACGAGATGGCAAGTCCTGTATGATTGCACAGACACGAGGTCCTGAGAGACAGATCCAGAGTGATGGGGAGTAGAATGCTGGGCATCCGGGGCTGGGACAGAGGGCAGTTATGGGCAGTCAGGGGGCTAGGGGGACAAGGCTTCACTTTGCGCAGATAGAAGAGGCCTGGAGGTGGATGCGGTGACAGCTACACAGCAATGCGGACGTTCCCAATCCCATTGAACTCTGCTTAAAAAGGGTTAAAAGGGTAAATTGCATGTTATGTGTAAGTTACCACAATTTAAAAGGAGAGAGAAGAAAAAGTGGGCCCCTCCCAACAAGAGTCTAATCCGGAAGGCCAACGCCCTGCAGCTGGAGGCATCACAGTCTCTCCTCTGCCCCCGCCCCACATCCTAGGAGCCGACAGCCATCTTTTTATCCCCGCATCCTCGGCCGAACTCTGTGCGAGAAGCAGACACATGGGAAACGCCTTCACAAGCAAAACACGAGTTTTGAGACACACACACGCCCGCCCGGCTCCCCATTCCAAAGATCCCCAACTGGTCACTCAGACCCGCTGAGAAAACAGACCAAGTTTCAGCAGTTACTTTCCCTGCAGAACAAATTAGAGTTTTCAAACCAGCAAAGAGCTTTCCAAGGCAGAAAAGGGAAGGTGGAAAAGGAGGTTTTTCACAAAAGTCCTCGCATACACAAGAGGTGGGCAAGGGCACGTGGGCAGTGGCCGGGGCCCCGTACTCCTGTCTCCTGGGCCGACGTCACCAAAGAGAACAGAGAGGCCAGAGAGGTCCCTCCCGGTCAAGTCTGTCTGTGATGGTTCTGTTCTCCGAGGAGGAAGAACAGAAGACAGTGGTGTCATGCGAGCAGAGGGCTGCACAGGTGGGCTTCAAGTCACAGGTGAGCCACGCAGCTGAGTCCTTACAATGAGCCCGCAGCTCTTCCCAGAAGCCCAGAGCTGCCTCTCAGGTCATCCACTCACCTGGACGCTGGACCTGGGCCAGAGCAACCGGTGGGCGGTGGGGGTAGGGGGGTGCAGAGATAAAGAGATGCTTGCAGAAGTCCTGCTGCCTGATCTCAGAAACAAGGAGGCGTGGAGGGGGGAGGGCGCAGGAATGGCATTTTCAAAGCAGAGAAACTGGGTCACATGAAAACAGAAATTTTCACACCGCCCTTGAACATCAAAGATAACACTAAACAGGGCTCGGGATCTGGCGGCTTTAATGGATGAGAAATGCTCACACAGACCCGCCCAGAACTCAGGGCCTACAGCACATTCCACAGGCCTGTGAAGCATAAAGCCCCGAGGAACGCAAGTACGGCCTGTGACCACGGAGCCCTGGGTCAGATCTCACCGTGCCCTCTGAGGGCGTGTGGCCGCCAACAAGCCCCTTCACCTTGCCCAGCCTCAGTTTCCCCGTCTGGAACACGGGGTGGCAGAGGTATCTACCTCACAGGGACTTCTGAGGAAAGAGTTCATCCCAAGGAGAACCAGGGAAGGCTTCCTGGAGGAAGCAGTATCTGAACGTGGCCTTGAAAGATGGCAAGAACCTCCAAAGGGGACTTTGGTGCTCCATGCAAAGCCCGTGGAAGACAGATCAGAGAAGGGATTCTGGAAGCCCTATGTGGAGGCCACATCCATGCTGAAACACAGTAGGGTTCTTCGGGACTCTGCTAGTGTTCATGGCCCGGGAACCCTGGGGGATACAGCCCCTTCACCGAGAAAGCTTCAGTCCAAATCTGATGACTGTCTTCTGAGGGTCAGTCTGGTGTCTGGAAAGAGGGGAGGAGCCCCTTGAACCACGGCTTTTCCTCAAGGCCCCCGCTCTGCGAGGTCAGTCCAGTTCAATTCAGTTCAGTCACTCAGTCGTGTCTGACTCTTTGCGACCCCATGGACTGCAGCACGCCAGGCCTCCCTGTCCATCACCAACTCTCGGAATTTACTCAGATTCATGTCCATTGAGTCAGTGGTGCCATCCAACCATTTCATCCTCTGTCGTCCCCTTCTCCTCCTGCCTTCAATCTTTCCCAGCATCAGGATCTTTTCCAAGGAGTCAGTTCTTTGCATCAGGTGGCCAAAGTATGGGAGTTTCAGCTTCGGTGTCAGTCCTTCCAATGAATATTCAGGACTGATCTCCTTTAGGATGGACTGTTTAGGTCTCCTTGAAGTCCAAGGGACTCTCAAGAGTCTTCTCCAACACCACAGTTTAAAAGCATCAATGCCAGGTCAGTGGCTTTCCGCTAATCTCAGGAATGTGTTGGCTTTGAAAGCACTGGTCCATTTGCCAGAATGTCAAACACTTCAAAGACTGGGAATCTTGCGTGATCTTGCGTCACGGAGATAGATCCGCTGGCCTGTGGTGTGCACGTAGGGTGTGGGCGTTCAAAGGGCCTGGGGTCCAAAGTCCCAGGGCCAGACTCACTGTTGTGCTAAGGGTCTGCCCTTATCCACCCTAAACCCAACAGGCAGCGCATTCCCAATTCGCCAAGGTTCACCACGGGCGACACAGGGCTGGGGAAGAGCCAGGAGGGCCGGAGGCTGGGAGCGGCCCTGACCACTCCGGTGCCCCTGTGGGGACAGCCACACCTCCCCCAGCCCGGGGGTGCAGAGCGGGCTACGCAGACCACCGTCACAAAAACCCAGGAGCTTTCAAAATAAAGCTGGAAATTGAGGGTTTGGGGTAGAATCTCCCAATTTATAAATGCAAGCAAGTAATTCAAACTCGGTGGCCCAGATAGGGGCCACCGATTTGCAATCCCAGTTCGCAGTAAATGTCCAGCCCACACTCCTGCCTGTCAATGGGGGAGGGCCACCAGCATTTTCTGAGCACCTACTGTGTACCGGGCACCTTCCATGCCTTCCACTCATCTAATCTCCTAATATGTCTGTGAGGGAGTGGCTGGCCCTGGCTTAGTCCTCACTGGGCCAGTGTCTGTCAGATATGAAGGCATCTGATATACACCAACCATGAGCCCTGCAGGCAGGACTGAACTCATTTCTACCTGGTCTTCACTCACTCTGCCCAGCTACGTCCTATCCACCTTCAGGCCTCAGCTTGCTGGCTGCCTCTTCCAGGAAGCCCTCCGGGGTGCTCCTTGCCCATTCCAGGCTCCCCTCTGCCCAGCTCGCATCCCATAACCAGCCCTGTAACCACCTGTTTCCTGGACCATCTGCCCACACCAGTGATAGCGCAGCTCCTGCACATAGTAGGTCTTTATATTTGAGAAGCTGCGCAATGAGGGGCTTAGAACCTGGGAGCCAGTCTGTTCCTTCAGATCCCAGCTCAGCCACTAAGAAGCTGCGTAACTGCTCCATGCCTCAGTTTCCATCTGTGAAAAGGGGCCTGATACACCCCCAAAGAGAGATGGAGAAGATAATGACCACGCAGAACAATGTTGCGCGGCAAGCGCTCAGTAAGCGCTAGCTTCCAGCTTCTGCCAAAGAGAGGGAGGCACACGTGTTTCCAAACCCTGTTCTCCTTCGATCACTCTACCCAGAGACCAGGCAAGGTTTAAGAAACACACCACCTCTCCTGATTGGAATGACAAATGCATGAAAAGGAGGAAAGAGAATCAAAAACTAAAACCTCAAACGTCTCACAAAGGGCCTGCCACTTACACCCCAGGCTGAGTGCAAAGTTTCCATCCTTGATTTTTTTTTAAATTTTCTTCCTACGGGTTTCCACTTATATATTTATTTATGCCCAGGCTCTTTCCCCTCCAAAAAAGGCTTTTAGGCAGGTTTTTTTTTTTTCCTTTCCCCTTTTGACATTATTAAGAAAACACAACTTTGAAAGCAGGCTGCTTTTAAAGAGCAAGGTTACCCTCAAGGGAAAACACAGATCTGAAGACAAAAAGGCTTCTTGCTCCATGAGGGGCACTGGGGCGGGAGTGGGGAGCACGACTCACCCCCTGTAAAGACAGGGTGCAGGACTCTCCCCGGGGGCTGACCTGCTGGGGGTTCAGTGAAGATGCAAAGACCCCACGGTGGGTGAGCCGCAGCCCGAGACTGAAGTGCTGACAACTCTACTCTGGAACGTTTCTCTAAGTGCGTCATTTCAACGCGGCAGACACGTCTGCCACCGGTGAGGGCTTTTACACCATATATACCCATGTCCTGGTTTTCCCGGAGAACAAAAGGACAGACGGAGAGTTTCCAGCGGGCCGTCTGAACCAAGATCAAAGAGAAAACTCCAACCAAAGCAGCCGCGTGCCCACCTCCAGCTAAAAGGAGAACTTGGAAATGGTAGGAAAGCTGTCTCAATTTGGGGCACTTAACCAGCCCATTTCAAGACGTGCCACTTGCAGTTACGATGGATCCTACTCGAGGAAACGGAGTAGTCCTCAGAGTTGCCAGGAAAGACAAAGAAGGATAAAGGAGGGAATGTTCCCACGTGAGTCCATGGACCCCAGATCTCTGCCCCTGCCACTCCACCCCCCAGACCCCTGTCCCTCCCATCCCACCTCCCCAGACCCCTGCCCTTGCCACCCCACCCCACCCAGACCCCTGTCCTCCCACACCACCCCACTAGGCTGGGAGGGAGAGTCAGGGTTAACTCTGTATGTGTTAGAAGGACCCAATAAAATCTCTGTTAAATAAAGCTCTCTGTCCACAGGGTCGCAAAAGAGTCAGGCACGACTGATGTGTGTGACTTAGCACCCACACATGCTTCCCCAGGCAAGCGAGAGCTTTCTATGACTCCACCACCTCTCTGCGCTCAGAGGGGCCGCTTCTTCACAGAAGTTATACAATTTATCAGAATAACTAAATTCATCAGCCATGAAGGTCTTCCTAACAGAGTAGCTCTTCTAAAAATAAATGAAGTTGTATTTCACGTGAAGAGCTCACAGCTCAGTGGAGAGACCACAGGGCCCAAATAAGACCTCAACAAGCATGATGACGCCCACAGACTCGACTGCTGGCAGGGGAACAGAAACTCAACAGCCCTGCCTGATCGCCAAAGACAAGGTGATCAAACGGCCGGATGGTCATAATTCAAGTGGATGAGCTACTTCCGGTGTAGCATCCTCGTTAAGGCCTTGATTTGGGAGGCCCCACCCTTCCCAGGAAGTCAAGACTCCAGACTCCAGCTCCAGGCTTCTCGGGATTGCGACAGATGGATGCCTGCATGCTGTCCAGGGTAAAAGGTGGGGAGCGCTAACAGCCCCAGGGACAGCCGCTGCCTTTCCCAACCCAGACATAGGGAAAGAGGCTTTCAGCCATCCACACGGCCAAACGTAAAAGGAAGAGCCTCTTAACCTTTCAAGTGGCAGATCTGGTTTGTTTTTACTGAGGAAGACATGCTGGCCCCCGTCTCGGCGATGCCAGCCCGACGTAATGAGCTCGGAGTATTTATGTACGTTTAACCCGCCATAATTCCTCAGCGCAGGATGAGCGTCTGACAAGACCATGGGAAGAAGAAAGCGCCGTGACTGCTGCCCGAACCGTGAGGATTACTCAGCCTGAACAGTCTGATCGATGGGGTTTTCTCTGCTGCGGTACAAGATTCCATGTCATTTCTCGAGATGAAATAAGTTGAGAGGCGAAAAGAAATATGTGAGCGTTTCAATAAGGCAAAGCCCAGAGGAGGTCAACAGGCATAGCTGATCCCACAGCAAGAGCCCGCAGCTGAAGAGTGGTCCTGTTCAGCCAGCCTCTGGTTTTACAGTGGCCGAGCTAACGACCGCTCGGGGCCAACGGGGCCGGCCCTGGTCCTGGGGGGAGGCTGGTGCGGGCGCAAACACGTGGGAGGGTGTGTCCTGGCCGCTTCCGCCCGACAGCCTGGCTCAGCCGCTGGCACAGAGAAGACTCTCGAGGAACAAATGGACGATTAAGTGCAATGCATATGATGGTGTTGAGTTTGGCTTTTATTTTTTTTAATGTGGACCATTTTTTAAAGTCTTCATTAAATTTGCTGTAATACTGCTTCTGTTTTATGTTTTGTTTTTTGGCCACAAGGCATGTGGGATCTTCGCTCCCCGATCAGGGATTGAACCCATGCCCCCTGCCTCCTGCAGTGGAATGTGAAGTCTTAACTGCTGAACCACGAGGGAAGTA